GTGGTACTAAAGCCAATCCCCTTTAACTTCCTTCAGGACAAATCTCCCATCTCCCCTTCCACCGTGCACCCACTTGAAAATCCTCTCTTCTCACGACTCCCTCGTCTCTTCTCTCCAGTTTCAGCGTTCCATGACAGGCTTTCTTACCTCATCTCCGGGCGGTCGTGCACGGCTGGTCCCACGGGTCTCTCGCCAGGGCCCATGGGGTATGCGGAACGAAGGGGCGCGGGACGGCAGATACGCGAACGCGGAGGTCACCATTGACGCAAATCCATTTGACGGTCACGTGACCGGCCGCGCTGGAACACAATGCCGAACGCGCGGCGGACGCCACGACAGCACCACCTTTCATTAAATCCTATCCTCCGTGCTTGTGCGCGGGGAGGGCAGTTGTGCCAAACACGGCTCACCCACGCTATCAAATAATAGGCAATTAACGAGCCACCGATCAACTGTTTTTCGAATGCCAATCGAATTTTCGGATGTGCGCCTTTCAGTCTGATCCACCAATCTTTCATCTATCGCCGAACATTTTGTGGTATACGGCATGAGTTGGTTGCAAGATGGTTATGCTTCGAAATTTTGGTGGAAAATAAGAAATCTCTTGTTGAGCCTGGAACTGAAATTGAAGTTGAAATACTGTTGGAAAATTGAATTTAAGAATTGAATCTTGAGTAGATGTACGGGTGAGAGAGACTGGTTTGATATGGAATTTTGAATGGAATATAGTAGAAGACTATCAGTAAAACAGTAATATAATTATATATATTGCATGTGTATGGTGTGTCTTTTTATGTATATGTACGCATGTGTTTTTGTTCAAGTATGATTTGTTATTAGAAAACATTTATTTTTGTTATGTAAAAAAAATATTATAAAATAGTAAATAAAGTTACAAACGTTCTTAATTTTGTACGTTCTATATATAATTAATCTTCTTACTTTTATCATATAAATTCGTTGGCATTTCGTCGTAATTAAGTTGTTTATAATTGATAAGAAATACGTCCCAAAAGAACATTCATCGCCTTGTATAATTGATTAACGAGGAGAATGATAGGTTAGAACTTTTACTTCGATATATTTTTCCTTAGACTTATATATGTTCGTAATTAAAGTACTAAATAAATATCTATCCACTAAATTTCTATTGAATAACAAACAATAAAAAACAACAAATTAAAAAAGGAATATATTCATATTAGGAAAAATGTACGTACCTTGGATTTTTGAATACATCTATTATCAAATTCTACATGCTACATGTGTAATACTTAAAATTAATTTGTTTTCTTTTTAATAAACAATCTTGACCAAAAAACGTACTTTTATATATTTCTTCATTATTAATTTATATATGTATAACCTATAAAAATGCATACTAAAATAAAATATAATATATAAATTTTAGATCTTCAAGGAGATTCTATAATGCAAAATAAAACACAATAATAAAATATGTTTTCGTCAATATTCATTGTCCACAAAAATAATGTTGAAAATTAACAGAGTAAGCATGCACATGACTGAAACTTTGCATAATTGCTTGTGCTGCAGTCTGCAATCGTAACTGTTTCTGCACTCGACATAATGTAAGGGATAGTCTACTATCAGGAGCCCAGACGATATATCATGCACAGAAACAGTTACTTTAGTTACGAACGATTCAGAATTAAAGTGGTTACATAAAATAATAGTTACATACATATATGTATCCTTGGATGATTTTCGATTATATTTTTTTTGTTGCATATTAAATTGTACGGGAAGTTATTTCATCATTTAAATTTATTTACAATCTATACCCCACGTGTCTTACGTATTACCACCCACTCTATGTTTAAAATTTCATGTATAACGATAGTCTGACGTAAGAAAACTAAACGTTTACAACATAGTATAATTTCCTAATGTTCTTATCCAAATTTTGTTCCAAAATAATTTGTAATCACCAAGCCTGAGATATTTTATGTGTAAATACATGCTTCTTAAAATTTTATACATAACCTCGATCATTTCTTAGAATGTCAAAGATAAAAGAAACTTGTTTATATAAATGTTATTTGCACTGAAAAGAGAAAGTCACTAGCGGAACTGAAGTTTTCCGGTTAGTAATCATGAATATTTCAAAGTGATCCATGTGTTGTAAAAAGAACAATTTGTGTTTGTGAAATCAACTTTAATAGTTTCCAGAAGAAAATTAAATTGGTAATCAAATATTTCGAAGAATTCCTTTTAAGAATTCTTGTTAACGTTAGCAATTAATTTGTCAACGTCTTAATGTAGAACGATCATTTTCAGCTGTTGTTTTACTACTTATCAGTATACTACGTCATGATATATGTATTTTGATATAACAGGTGAGGATCGTTATTCTATGATGAAGTTAAGCTGTTACAACATTCGCGAAGGATTTTGTCAAACAGGTGTATTATTAATTCCTTAAGTTTATCTTAAAATATTTCTGTTTCGAAATCACATTTTTCTTTTTTTTAAGCATCGTATAAACGATTTCTTATATACGTATTTTTAACAGTCTACGTAAGAGGCATTATATGCATGTAAAAGTTTTAAGGTGAAACTTAAATTATGCAGGAGATGGTGGAAAGGTGACATAATTTTGTATTCGATACCTTTAAAAAAAAAAAAAAACGAAAATCGAGATAAGATAATGATTAAGATTCTTTCAACTGAATTCTAAGGATAAGTGTTTTTTTTTTAGAAGTAAGAAAACTTTGTTGCTATTATTAACTTGTTTTAGAACTATTAATGATAATCGCTTAAATCTTTATAACATAATTGAAAATTATCTTTATTTTACAAAAGAGAAGAAATATAAAAAATCTACAATTTTTTTATATAGAACTATTGAAATCTACAGATGGTACATTCTATTAGTATTTAAAAATATAATATGTAAAATAATATATGCAAATTCGATAAATAATAAAACATAGCAGTGCTGTAAATTTATTATTCTAAATTATAAAGCATTATAAAAATTTTGTTAATTATTAATTTCTATATATTTATTATTTTTGTCATTTCAATAATAATAAAATCCATTTAACAGTTAAAAAATTATATAAAGAACTAAATTCATAGTTTGTTATACAATTTATTTTATGGCTTCCTTTGCTTTGAATGTCTGTATCATCTGACATTACTATGATATCAAAGGAAATATTATCATGTATAACTTCCCTTTTACGAGAACGTAGAAGATCCAGTTTTAGCAAGTCGTAATAATCTTTTGCGCTTGAAAATTCATCAGTCTTCAAAATTTAGATTGAATTATATAAATCGATTAAACAATTTTAATTCTATGTAAATATGTAAATGTAAACAATTGACCTCGAATCTTGTGATCTGGTCTTCACGTAACTTTTATCTTCATAACCACTTTTAATTTAACTTTTAACCACTTAACTTCACTTAACATCATGTGTTCTTTTATTTACTAAAGAAAGACATTCTACATATAAGCAGCCATATTATATAATCATTTTTTATTCTAGAATAACTATTAAGGTATTATTTTCATATGTATATCGACTATCTATCTTTCAAAGATAAAAGCTAGTTTTAATGAACTTAACCAGACATATACTGCACTAGTAGCAAATTTCATCAAATAAAATCTAATTTTTTATTGAGTTTTCTTTCTAGTTAATATCATATATTAAACAAATATATTGAATGTCCATAAATTTAAGTTTTATTTATAAAGTAAAAAAATATAATATAGATTTTGGTTATATAAAATTTTACAAATTCCATTAGTAGACAATAAGTTTATAAATAAATAAGTAATACTTTAATAAATATTGATATTGAAAGAAAATATTCAAAGAAAATTTTCAACCCAGTTAAGTGTTTTGAATAATAAAAATATTTATTCGATTGCATTATAATATTCAAAAGCAAATTATTTTTAAACTTTTCTGTTCCAAATCTATTTGTTATTCGCTTCATGTTTCTGATACAGAAGCTATGAAAAACATTAAAAAGAAAACCTGATTCACAATTTTGAGACGACAGAATGTCGATGTTCGAGCTGCGAAACGAGTTTGATATTTTGTTACGTTATTATATATGTCACATTTTATACTCTTTTTACATATTTATATTTTTTTGCCGTATTTATAGCTTATAGATAAAAAAAATGATTTGTTACAATAAAAAAGTAATAGATAAATCATAAAAAATGTTTATTCGATATCAAAAAAGATTTAAAATACTTTCATATTTACATTTAGTAGAACAATTTTAGTTATAATAATAATTAATGCAAAATATTTTATAGATATGTAGGGTTTTATGACAAATTTTAAGAAATTCTTTAGTATTCAGGAAATATTAAAAATTCACCTGTCATTTAACTTTTATCACAATCTACTTCATTAACGAATAATACGAGATCCAGTCATCGTAGAAATTAAGTTATTATCTTCAATCACTGGATGTGGGCAAACGAAACTTGAGAAATAGATATCGTTAGCAAAACGAAATAACTTAATTTACTTATACAAAGTCATATTAATCAGTCTACTTTTTAACATACATGTATGCACCTTAGTATAATTTTGTACATAAATACATATTAACTAAAAAACTAGGAAGTAAATGTACTGGAAAATAATTGGAAAGTTTTGATTAAGTTTTTATTCCTTCAATAAAAACAAAAAATAATTATTAAGTACTAATTGTAATTGAATATTATTATTTTATATATTTAGTTATGAAACAAAGTAATTAAGAATTTTTAATTATTTAGTAATTTTATTATGAAATATGTTACAAAATAATTCATTTGATATTTATAAAAATATACTTACAATAACAATTTATATAGTTCCACTATAAAAATTGACTTGGTATTACATTTTTTGTGCTATTTCAACAAAAAATATTACAAGTTTTATTAATAATATTATTCACAAAATGTAAAGTATAATTTTAATTTGTATATACATTTATTCATATTTTATTATTTCTTCTCAATCATTTTTAGTATCTATTGGACTAAGAATTCTTAATATATATTGTAACATTTTTATTAAGTCCTCTTCTTCTTTCCTATCGTCTACATTTAATAGCGTAAATCTACCTAAAGTTTCTTGTAGACTCTGTGAAAAACCAGCACTTCGAGCGATTAATTTTCCTTTTTGATTGTTGGACACCAAAGACCACAACATAGAACCTGCTATTTTAATTTCATCCAAGGAACCATTTTTAAATATATCATGCAGAACATTAATAAAATCCACTAAAACATTTACATTCCATTAAAATCGTTAGAATATTTAATATGATATTAAAATGAGAATCACATTACCTGAACTAAGTAACCGAGGTCGATTTGTCATGTTAAACGCGAGATTACGCAATATGGAAATTGCTAGAATTCTGTTAGATGATGAGGAATATTTTGACAATTGCAACAAAACATCCAAGCCGTCAACTGCCTGAAAAAATGTCGAATATTTGTGTAAAAATGTTTAAATATTAATTATATGGAGTAATCGAAAATAATTAATTTGCACGTGAACAGAATTAATATATTTTTCGGACATTAAAGTATAAAAATTAAGAAAATTATAAATTAAGATTTTCATTTCACCTTTGGTACACATAACTGACCCTCTTCATAATATGTAAAATCGATTAAAAATTCCAAACAGTATAATTCGACGAGTGGCCAAGGTTTTACTCTTTTCGTAGTGATTGGATGAATTTTCGTAAAAAATTGTAGAAGATTGCTCTACAAGATTTGGTTTAGTCAATAAACATAATTTTGGATGCATATATCGAAAAAATATTAAATTACCTTTGAAATCGATACTCTACATTCATGAACATGTATTGCATTTCGTAGAATATGAAAAGCAAAGTGTAACTTGTGATTATCAAAGAACTGACCAGCCTTATCTATTTCTTTGCAAACTAATTGTACAATAACATGTATAAGTGCGAGAGTATTAGGCGTTTTCCTAAGTCCCGTTCCAGGTAAGATAGTTGTTAATGTCAAAGATTGAGCAGCTGAAAAATTAAATTATTAAAATTCAGTAAATCATTCAATAATTCATTTAATCATTTAATATTTAATTAGTGGTTACATAATTAAATTTGAATTATACCTGTAGTACATTTTGTAGTGTAGGTTGCTAATAATTTCAGAGCTGTAGTTGAAACTGTTTTACTTAATGCAATCCAAGCCCATAATTTGTGCAATACATCTGCTAGACCTACTTTTGTTAGAACTTCTTTAACTTCTGTATTACCATACATGAAGTTCATTAATAATATAAAAATAGCATTCAAGTCATGTAGTAATGGATGAATCTGTATACAAGAAATGAGGAAAACTTTTTATTGAAATATGTAAAACTGATGGAAATTCCATATTAGGTGTATGAATACTATTTGCATGCTTTTTTTGTTCTCATTATAATATTGGAAAATCCCTCATCTGATTATTGCAATAACAGTGTGAATAAAAAATATCACTATAGATAATATATCTTAAATATATCTTTCATATGTACCTTTTTTTCTCGATCTATCTGATTTTTGATAAGCTCAAAAGGTTGTAAATTTAATCTGACATACAGTTCTTTTAATATCATTACAGCTGTTTCAGGTAAATTTTCTTCCAGCGCGACTTTTTTGGCTGTATTTGATACACACAATAAATTAGTAAGCGCGCTTGTAATCAAATCTTTGTCCTCGCTTAATTTCTTATTTTTTTTAGATCTATTATAGTTATGGGCTATAAACAAATGCAATAAAATACTACAAAGTTCTTCACTCATAGCAATTTCATTCGTCTCAACTTCACAATTTCCTGGTTTTTCACAAGTCAAAGGGAAATCTTCGTTTTCATTTGATTTCCTTGAATGTACATTGGCGCTTTGTAGAGAAAGTTTATTAACATCATATATAATTTCTTTTAAATGATTTCTATTGTCACTTGATGAACGAGTAAAAGCAGTATCCATTACCGATTGTAATGAGACACTACTTTTCCCTAAAGAATCTTTTTGAATTTCTTGAGAAAGTAAAAATGCAAGACAACCTATAGCGCTGATACGAAGCTCTGGACTAGAATCTTTCATTGCAAGGCAAATAGATAAAAGTACAGCTTCTGGACCACGCAATTCCAAAGCAGCCTGTATTGATTCAAAGTGTTGATTTTCTGTTAATGAAAGTATAGCTATAAAATTAAAAATCTCGGTCCAAAGTTTATTTCGTAAAGATATTAACTGCGATGTTCTATTACCTGCACAAACATTATATTACTGTAATCTGATTTGTATAAAGCGTAATATAAAAATATGTTTCCGTTAATTTTTAACTTACAGTATAAATCGTTGTTTAAAAAACAAAATAATGTGTATAGTGAATCAACAGAAAAATTGGCTACAAGAATATATTCATTACTGTGTGTAATACAATTTGTTAAAACTGTACAGATACCAATGTACATTTCTAATATGTCACAGTAGTGTGTTAAGTTCTTCTCAGTTTTAACATCTTTAGGAATGTCGTTAATGCATCTGAAAAATTAGAATATACAAGCTCTGGAAAAGTACTAATTATAAGGAAAAAAATATTTAAATCTTTTAGAAACACAATAGATATCTATGTTATGCATTTAATTACCCAATTAAATATTTGTCAATAGAGTGCTCATAAATATGATGAACAACTTCTTGCTTTCCTACTAATATTAAGTTATTTAGTAGTCTACAAACTGCTGTTATCAATGATGGTGTTGCAATCAATTGTAAATAATTGTCCATATCCGTAGTTGTTGAACCTCTGGTGGAAACTAAATATAATTAATTAGTATTTATATAAACTTATACATCATTTTTAAGTTTTTAAGTCCAAGTAATTATATGTGATATTTAAAGTAAAATGACATTAAATGATAGACGTACAAGGCTGTAATTCATCCTGACAATTATACAGATGTGAAATCGTACGCGGTACCAAAGATGTATTACTCGACTGTATGCTGTGGATAGACGGGACTTTCCCAGTTTCTTGTTCTTGATTATCCATATGGTCACAGTCCAAAGAAGTAAACATATAAATATTAGAACACAGTACACTTATTTCATAATAAGTGTTGTTTTGTTCTATGTATATTAAAATAGCATTTGCTTTCAAGGAATCCATCTAAATGATCACGTATTATACAATAATAATAAAATAATAGTTAGTTTAGAATTTTATACTTATAATTTACTTTTAATATAATAAATAAAATTAATGTTTACTTACATACTGGAAAATTATAGAATTGCAATTTTTTACTAGACTGCTAAATGCACAGCATGCTTGTTCTCTAACAATACATGATTCTTCTCTATTAGCAATACACTGAAGTAATGTCTGACATAATTCACTTGGTGCCAATGCTATGGAATTTAGCAGTTGAGAAGCTGTGTGCAAATTATTCATTAATCCTGCTAATAATTGTAAAGCAGATGCACGAACTAAGGGATCTCGATTTTGCCATAATGTGGGCAACCAATTCAACATACGGCCTTCTTCGTACCAAAATAGCGCAAAAGTCTAAAAAATTTTCGGAATATATACAAAATATATATTAGATTAATGTTACTATAAGCAGAAGTACTCTATTACACATACTTACGTTTTTATTAAAATTTATTTGCATTTGGTATAATAAGTGATTAAGACATATGATAGAATTTCTAGTTATAGATAAACCCATGAAGCTAACTGTTCCAGCACCATGAAAGGATATAATTAGTTCAATTAATGTATTTCCTAAAGATATCAATAAATTTTTATAATTGGTCCAATGACATTTTCCAATTAAATATGTTAAACATGTTAACAACCAATCAAGATAGGCTGTAAAGAAATTATATTTTACTTTAGTTTGGATGAAAATATTATATATTATAAAAAAAAGAAAAATTTACCTAAATTATAAAAATGTTGTTGATCCCCTAAACATAAAGTAGAGACAATTAATTCAATAAAATGTAGCCAAACATCTTGATTCTCTACAGTAGTTTTTTCAGTTTTTTCTACAGCTGCACAAGTACGAGCTAATTTCAATATAGATTGATGTACATTTTGATTATCTAGTTCCGAATTTTTTAATAATTCCGCCAGTGATTTAGTTATATTTTTTATTATTTTATTCGTCCATTTATACTTGCCTAATTTACATAAAAGAATTAAAATGTTTTTACTCTATTTTAAATGATATACAAATTCTATAGATTATTTGAATTTTACCATTCTTTGTAATATTAATATAGAGTTGTAAAAAATTTAAAACTTCAACAAACAGATCACAGTCCTCTTTACTTGCAGGTTGTGAAAGTAAAAAACGTTCAAATGTTTGTTCCCAAGGTAGCAAGCTTATATCTTTTACTTCTTCATATTGTTGCATTTTATAAAATTTTATGTACCTAAAAAAATGATTAACAAATTAAAAACAGCTATAAACGAAATTATAAGTGAAATTATAAGAATGCTATAAACAATGATTACATTGTAAGATAATCAAGTGTGCATGAAACTGAGTCATGGGTTGTTGAATTTTGTATATTGTATAGTTGTTGTTGGCAGCAATAGTGAGGAAAACTGAAACGTAAAACTGAAAATTCATTTTCTTGAATTTTCAGTTTTTCTGATATATCAGAATCATGAAAATCTTTCAAATTTTTCCAAAGTACATTTGTACCACCATTCCATTCCCATATCCAATATTGTCTTATAAATGTTGATACCAATGGATTATTATTATGAAGAACTGGAAAACACAAGGATACAAATTCATTATATTTTCTAATAATATTCTCATAATATGAATTCTAAAATGTTTAGTAAAGTATATAATTTACCAGACATATCTGATCGTCTATGCATACTTATTTTCCAATGTGATTTACAAAGGAACGGTAGCTTCATTTTAGAAACAATAATATGAGGTAAAGAAATATTTAATTGGTTATAATTTTCCGTATGTTTTTCATTCAGTCTCATAATGTATTCATTATAAAGTAATAAACACAATAGTTGTGAACCATCAGTTTTAACACATTCATTATTTGGAAAAAGAAAAAGACCTATAAAATAGTTTTTGGTGATATATAATTCTAATATTTTTATTGTGAAATTATTTTAATTGTTTAAATATTGTTTTTATATTTACTTCTAATTATGTTTGAAAGAACGTTAATACGACTGGATAAATCTCGGCGTATAGAACATTCAGTGGAAGATAATAGTTTTAGTATAGTAATTATAGGAATGGCAGAATCTGGATAATTAATACATTCCTTTTCAACCTGAAAGTTAATATCATTTATAAAATGTAAGAAATATTAATAAATTATTTTATAAATTATACAGAATTCTAACATTAAGCTTTTAAGAAGTATGTAATAAATCTTACCAATGCACTGTTAAATATATTTAAGATTAATGGCAATCCATTTTCATTAATAAATAATTTATGCAAGGAAGAATCCGAGAGCATTACACTAATTTGCACTAATGCGGATTTTCGTATTTTTGGATCAATATTTGGTTCATTTAACATTTCAAGTACAGATAATAAATTGCTTCTCTAAAAAATTAAATATTTAGTATTATATTAGCCTGTATATATAATTTTCAATGTATAGAATTATCTTAAAATGTGTATATATAAAAATATGTAACCTGATAATTGCCTTCAGATTTTTTAAAAAATGTTTGTCGGTCAAAAATACAAAGTGAACTAAGAGGTAAATCATGCAAAGATGATAATCGTGGTAATTTTTGAACTGAATCCTTTTCTTTTCCAAGAAGCCAAATTAATCTACAAATGGCTTCTTCTCTAATATCTCCATCCGATGAAAATAGAAACCTTAAATTACCTTTTAAAACCTGTTAAAACAAATAAATATATGTAGTATGTATTTTAAAATTTATGTAATAAATGTATTTTTTTAACAATAAATTGAAAGTTACCTCGATATATGGTAATTGTATATTAGTAGAAACATCAGGATCGAAAATTTTCATTATACATTGACCTAAAGTTGTAGAAGAATGAGCATGACATTGTAAAAGAGGTAACACTGGTAATATGGCTTCTAATGATTTTAACCATCCATTTTCTCCCATTTGTAATCTTCCCTTTAGTATGTAAATTAATATTTCTTCTGACATTTCCCTGATCTAATGAAAAGATAAAAACAGTTTATAGATTATGCATTCTTATAGCAAATTTGGTTTTATAATTCTATTTTACCCTTTTGTCGTCATGTGTTACACCATAAGATATGATTTCAGTTAACACAGACCAATCAAATAAAAATATTAAATTTTCCCATGATAATTTTTCTTTGTTATATTCTACTCCTAGAATGTTTTTAATTAAAGTGTGACATTCAAGATATGTAACATACTGTATATCAGTATCAGCATTTGCTAATAAGTTTAATATTAATTTTATACTCAATGTTTGATCTTCATTATTTAAAGAATACCTTAAACATTAAATAAATTATACTTTAATAATTAAGTTTATTTTAATAATAAATTAGTAAATAACAAATTTGTATAAATTAGTGTATACCTATTTATATTTTGTAAAAATTTGATAATCTTTTTAATAACACTAAAATTTTTGTGATAAGATAAACTTAATTTTGAAGCATACATCATTTTCAAGATATCTGAATGAGTTAAATCAGATGTATTTTTGGTTAAGGATATAGCTGCTTGCATTGACTTTGTTATTACTCTTGTTTCATCAAATAATTTAATATATGCAATTTCGTCATTACTTTGAAATTGCTGCAAAAAAAGAAAAAACAAGAAGTCATTATAAATTAAATTCTATATATTCTATATATTCAATTTTATATGTAACAATATTGTCACTTAAAAAATTAAAATTACTTACACGACCATATTCTTGTAATATAAGGTGTAACTTTGGATACAAAAAATATATAGCAGCATCCATTATAGCTACACAAATGGATGTTTTAAGGGATTTGGGGAAAATAATATCTGCTATTTCTAGAGGAACAATATGACTTAAAAGTTTCATTGTAATAGTTACAAGATGCAGATATGTTATTCTAAAATCATCCATTGTACTATAGTTTCTAAAATATTCTATAACATCTCCTAGAATGCCGAATAATATTTTCATATCTTCAATTATTTTTAAGGCAATATTATCGTTACAAAGCCAAATATTTGGCATCACACTAATGATAAGTAACTGTACCAGTTCATATACCACATCTGTTACATATTTGACATTTCTTAATAGGAATGTTAAATTAATAGAAATACTTAATTGAGATATAACGTGTTTTAAGGTTTCAATACAAAAGGTAGGTATAAGCATCTGTTGTAGTTGTAAAATAGAATCGTCAATATTATCTGATATGCTTTGACTTCTTTCACTCGTACCCTAAACAAAGTATGAAATATTAATACATATACATTATTTATTAAATTTCCAAGTTTCGAAAGTTTTAAATAAATACTTACAGTAGATTGATATGCCTGATAATTAGCTTCTGGAAATCCTCCATCAGGACTATCTCTTGTTTCAGAGGAAGAATAAACATTATTGCTTAATGCTCCTGCTAATAACTGAAAAATATACTCTATTAGTATATAATGTGATATATGAGTAATATAACTATTTAAATTGATTTGTACTTATTTACTTTTTGTTTTTTATTTGCAATACATGGTTCACAGTAATAGTAAATTCGTAACCTTAAAGATCGTGTTAATTTATGGAGTGTTTTTAATACCATTGGTACTATACTTCTAAAATTGGCACTTGAGGTATTTATACTAGATTCTAAAAGATTATGTAATATCTGAAATTGAATTGTATAATGTTAAGTATCAATAAATATCAATTCAATAAAGAATTTAAATATTTACAGAAACAATTGCTGGTCTTTGCAGGAAAACTTCTGCTGGAAAATCTTGCATCATCACATTCGTTATAAATTGACATGTATGTAATATGAGATTTGTATCTAAACTATTATTTAGTGCTTCTTCAACTGCAGCTAAGACTCCTCTATCAGAGGTGACTAAAGGTTGCCATGGCATGATTAACCATTTGATACCACCCTCTGTAGCTTTAGATATTGGGGTCCCATCCCCACATTCCAATGTTAAATCAAATGGTACTGTACTATAAATCATACGTATTAGAAAATATAATATTTTTTTACAACATATTTCAAATAACTTAATTATTATATTATTAAAAAAATATTTACTTGTTGGCAGCAGAAGTATCAATTCCATTATGTTCATAATCTTTTATACGCGTTCTGTGCTTGTCATAATCAATAAATCCCATTGTTGGAGAACTAGAATTCTTAAAAAGAAATTTTATAAATTATTTTGTGTCAATGCATTTATATATATTATTATAACAGATCAACAAACCTTTATAGTTTCTGACTTTGATGATGTAGTTTGTATTTTATCTGAATTGAGAACAATTTCTTCAATTTCATTTATTTTTTCATACCATTCTGAACCTAATTTTCTTCTTAATTCATGCAGTTCATTTTGAAATCGTAATTTACCAAATGCATTTAAATGACTTTTATCATCTGTCTTAAAAATTATGGTATATATTACATAAAAATAATAATGTTACTTTATTTTTAATTAAAACATTCCTTGTTTTTAAATAAAATTTTAATACTAATATCTTTTAATCTTATAATTTTAGCTCTGGATTATTCGAAATATGTTGTTTCTCAAAATTGAAACTATTAATTAATTTAAAAATGATGAAACATATACTTAATATAATTCAGTACCTTTAATAAACGAAGTAATAAATCTAAAACTTTTTCTGTTTGTGAAAACGCTTCAAATGAAAACCAATTAAATAATTTTGTTATTAATTCCTTTTTTACAGCATCGCAATCACAACCAAAACCAAGATCGTATTTTGAAATAATATTATTTAATGCTCTCAATCGTATTTCCTCAATATTATGACCTGAAAAGTATTAATAAATTTTTTACTTTTCGATCGTATAGTATAAAATACTTTAAATATCAATATATTTACTTAATTTTTTAACGTGTATTGCTGATATTCCGTTCATACTTGACATTTGCTTAACACATTTTAAACTGTCATGTTTTAGGTTAATCGTTCCAAATTCCAATTGTTTTAAATATTTCCCCGCCAAATATAAGCATTATGGGTAACTTTTATCTTTGGTCACATTTTTACAAAAGAATAAATCTTATCTTATTTTTTAAATATAAATTGTTATTAAATAATTTTCGAAACCTGATTTTCAGGTTATATATTATTTTATTTAAAATGAAAAGAAATTACATTTTTATTACGTACGAGATTATTTAAGTATTTTTGTGAAATTCTTATGTTTAGTACATATTATAATTTTCTAATATATCAATAAAAATGTAACTTTAATTCATCTGTGTTCACATGCCATCTATCGGTGAAAATACGATAATAAGCGAAGTGTAACATAAACGTATATGCTCATCTATATATCTTATAATTTTAATTTTCCGCACATGCGCAGTTCAAGAAAATATTCGTTCAATCGAATTTGATGCAGTATCAACACGATATAATACGACTTCAGAAAAGAAGCAAGCTCCTGTTTCCTGATTTTCTTGAGGGGCGTTTTCATCTAGTATTTCTCACTGAGCTATTAATTTTTAAATTATATTCAGAATAGTGAAAGAATATATCATAAAAATATTCTTAAATGATAGTTATCATTTTTTCATATTCCAGCATTATAGTTCAAACAAGAAATTCTTAATAACATCTTATACAAATAAAGAACAATGCATTTTTAGTATGCATCCAAACTTACAAATATTAAGTGATATTAACAGTATTTATACATATATCTATTAATGCCAAATTTAGTACAAATATGGGATTTATTAATTTATTACCTTACAGATTTCTCTTTTCTTGATATTATCTTTATTCATCTATGAAATAATTATTTCAAATGTTTACTGATTGTTGAAAAATGGATGGAGGATCTGAATCCCAAATATCTATAAAATTGTGAGCATGTAGGAGCAACATCTTGCAACTTTCTCACTGATCCTTAAACCTGAAAACTTTATGAAAACAGATAAAAATTTATTATTTATAAGCGTACATAATACTAGTAAATGATTTGAAAATTTTTTAAATAATATTGTTACAAAATTTGTGTTGTTTTATTACTTATAATAATCACGACTATTCATAGTATATTTTTAATTAAATTTTACGTTTATCTAAATTAATAAAGTAAAGTAATTAAATACTTTATTATGATTCCTGTTTTTATGGATTTATTATTAAGCATGATTCTTCATGAAAGCCTGTAGATAATTAATCATCGTCTTTGACAATTTTTATTTTGTAACCTAATACTTATGGCATGATAGAGTCCTCAATAGCATTATTCCCTTTTCTGTTATATTAAATGATTCGTTTTGTAAGGTTAATGTGACGAATAGCATCTTTTTACGAAGTATGCTTTTATGAGGGTAGTAACTCAAATTACACTGTCCAACAAATTTTAACTTTTCCTGAAATCTGTAATATCCAGTGGGTAACTCTTGTCTAGCTTACCAACGTAAATACGAATCCGTAAACGAAATTGCTCTGTCACCTTCAATGTTTGAATTACAAAAAGTTCTTCATCTGACACAAATTTGCTACACAGTATCGTATTCTGTAGGCTTCTCTAAAGAAGAAACCATGACACACAAAACTGTCGAAACAGTTTTCAATTCGAATAGATGGAGAAAATATTCCTCGGTAATGTTTATACGGTATATTACTGTTACGTAGCCACCATTATCCGCTTCTTTATCGTCGACAGTGCCGTCACTACAAATAATCCGTGTACCAAGTGCAATGGAGCTAACACATAACAGTCTACAAAGGAAAAAGAAAACAATTCATTATGATTGTACAGATAAACGACACAAATAGATATGTATCTCTTTCTTGTTTTCACAACAACGTTATATACCCTTTTCTTCGATCTTCATTTATGATATTTATACTGCGCCAATTCTAAACAAACAATAATATATTAATTAATAATAAAATAATTATTAACGAAGATAAACTGTTAAAATTAATAGTAAATATAGTTTACATATAATTACTGTATGTTCTTATGTTATTATAAAAATATCAAATAATTAAGGAAAGAAATGTTACCTAAAATGTGCAGCAAAATACGATACAAGCTACAAATTCTGTTAATAAATAAACTCAATATACCCCTAATGCAACCCGTTGATACGGCGCTAATACCTTCAATAAGATAGACAAGGATAGAAGTTCAAGTGACATTCGATTAGCGCCATCTATGATTTTGGACCCGAAGCTCGAAAAAGTAATAGGAATATAGAATACGTAAGGAGGTCGTCTAAATCTTGTCATGCGATAGACATGGACAGAAAGTGGTTAATGCGATAAATTTAATTTGTGGAATAGATACATGTGTAATTTTTAAAATCAATTTTTAAACATATTTAAAGTAATCCTTTATACTTTTTTTTTCAACAGCTAAAGAAGCTAATAAAAGAAGAAAATTTGTTTTAGATATTTAAAATAATCACAGAAATAAAATTAAATTGAGGAAGAGGGGTAGGATTAATTTGTTAAAATTAATAATAATAAAAACACATTCTTAATATCGTCGACTTGCGATGAACCATAATTTTTTTTATGTATTATATTACCTTGTAATTTTGTATATCATTTTTAATCTCTTAATTAAATAGTAAGTCTCTGACAACAAAAGCTGAATTATTCTAGCACAAGGTCACTGTAATTTGTCACTGTAATCCCAATTTGTTATTGTCAATTAATAAAAATAAAATTTAAAAATTACTGATAAAAGTACCCTTAGGTATAAACGAGTAATTTTTTCTAGATTTAATATTTTCCACTAACAATAACAATTATAATAACCGAAAAGTATTCGTTTTTTAATTTAGCGCTTTTAATTAAAACTTTTACATTTCGAGAAGCAAAAAAATTGTAACTTTTAGCATGCTTAACATTTCGAATTTATATTCCAACAAAATAATGTAATATCTTTATATCAAAAGAATCAACAATAAATTTTCATATATTCCTCTGTTAATTAATTAAAAAAAAATATTGCTCGAAATAAATAAATTTTTTCTTTGACGAAGAATTTTTTTTCTTAGAATTTTACGAAAACATTAAAACGACGTTCTACATTTTAATGTCTGATTACTATAATTTTGATATATACACGTGAGCAATTTTAATTATACAATGAAACAAATCTTTTCGTTTCTTTACCATTTTTCATTATACTTACAATACTTACAATGACAAGCAACAAACTCTAAGCACATGGATGACGATAATATTAACCATTTACAACTTAACTAATAAATTTTTGTTCCCAATTTACAAAAAACCATGCAAGCATTATATGACATTATAAAACAATGTTAATTAAAAACTAATCAACACGTTAAGTACCATGTCGGACCCCAGGCACCGGCGCTAGACTTTCCGTTCAGGTCCGACGCTAGACTTTCTGTTCAGGTCCGACGCTAGACTTTTCGTTCGAACCCGGCGCTAGACTTTCCGTTAGGGCCCGGCGCTAGACTTTCCGTTAGAGCCCGGCGCTAAACTTTCCGTTCGGGCCCGGCCAGACCTCAGGAACCGGCCCAGACTAGGACCAAAAGGTGCTAAATTTTGGTGTTAAATTCTTCACCATTTTTGGACCTAACGTTTGGGAATTTCTGTTATAACAATTAGTACAGTATCTCCGAGTTTTATGAACATTTCGTCCACCGCTGATGGCCCACTTGATGGCCGAGTTTTGGCCTGAACGGAACGGCAAGTAAAACGGGCTAGGCACTTAACGTGTTAACTAAATAAAAATATCAATTTCAACATTACCATATTTATAACTATAACTATGATCACACGATAAGTTAAAATGGAGATAAGGTTCGTTTGAAACATGATATACATACGCTATAGATCAGTGAAATCATTCGAGGAGAGAATTATTAAGAATAATGGTAACCACATCGCGAGTCGACGACGTTAAGAAGATAAGGATGTTTCGAAAGGACTGTTTAATCACCTCACGAAAATTTCAAGGATAATAATTCGAAGCATATGCCTTCCGCTAATGGGGTTCGGTGTGTAGGTATTACAATCGCATTAATCTCACAACACTGATTTAGATAATTATGTACACGTCATTTAACTGCATATAAACGTACAAAAAGGGATTAAAACTAATCATCGAATCGTTGGTAATCGTCCGTGGGAGCGGTTCCGCTCTCGTTTTCCGCTTCGGGATTTTTCTTTTTATTCTTTCTTTGTTCACGCGTCGACTTATACAAGGTGTTTCCTCGCGTGAAACGTTGTCAATTTTTGGTAACAGGTCTATGGAAATGTCCGACACAGAGAAGACGATAAAGCAACATCGTGAATTGATTTTCCTCTTCGAATGCATATACATTACATTACATTATTTCAAATTTTGCCTGAAAAATTGCCCGAGATTAATTTTGAAATTAATTGATACGAAAAGTATAGGTAATTTAGGTTTATGTCAAATATGTGCTATTTAGAAGTGGATAAACAAATTTTGGATTAAATACCAGAATTAAATTTCGCTGATACTTATTGGTAAATGGAGCTTCAGGGTTCAAACAAAACTTGATTGTTGCAAGGATGTTAAATAATTCGGAGAGGAACGAATTTAAGTGACAGAAATATATTTTTGGTCTGTTAAATGAAACATCTGACAATCTAGCAGAAAGCAAAGCAAGCAGACGCCATGTTGTCTGTGGCGCGTCGAGAAAATGGCGACTCGTTTGAGAGGTTATGAAGCAGAATCTAATTAAATCTTCCTATTTAATACGATTCCTTTTCTTTATTTTATTTTTCTTTTCTTTCTTTTATATTTCTTTTATAAAGAGCAGATATAAATACTTTGTTGCGAGTATAATACATTGCAGAATAATTGTAACTGTTTGCTTCCCTATTAAGTCAACCAAATTGAATTATACTATTTTACAACACTGTAGAATCACGATATTTAAAAAT